TCACTGGGGGGGCCAGGGTTGACTTTTTTTTTTTTTTTTTTTTTTGGTCTTGGGGGAACTCATTGACTAATGAGGGTTTTATGTCCCATCAACAAAAGGAAAAAAAAAATGCTTCATATCTTTCTTTACATTAGAGTTCATCTAAATTCTATTTAGTTTTTTCCCAAGTCTAAGCAAGCTGTCTCTGTTTCTAGAGACTGGTTTGACCTCTGCCCAGGCAACTGCTGGCTTCCTTCATTTTAATTTCCCTGAAACCCTTCAGTTTTCAGCTTAGCGTGTAAATTAACCCCAGTCTTAGAAAGACTATGCCTACCCGCCTCAATTTGTCACAGCTGTAGAACATGATACCTCCTTGAGCTATGAATTCCTTAGGTGTATTCCCCCAGGCTCCCAGCTTGGGGAGCCTTCTTTCCCCATGGCAAACCTGACTTTGGACTTTCTTTTCTCATCCCACCAGAAGGTAGAGGTGATGGGCTAGGTTGGCCTAAGCTAGCCTGGGTTGACCCTTGGACCTGGCTGAGCATGCAAGATCCTTCTGGTGGGTCAGGAATCTGGCTAGGGGTTAGGCCAGGCTCTGAGATGTGGGAGATCCTCTGTGTCCTCCCTGACCCATGAGTTCTATGGGGGTGGAAGGACAGCTTATTGTAGGCCTCAGTTGGAGTGGGGCTGGTGCCTCCCAGCCTGAAGGCAAGGTGGGAGCCAGGGCAAGGGGTCTGTGCTGGAGAAACTCGGAGTGGGTCTCCCCAGAGCCCTGCGGTCCTCCTCCTGGTGACATGAAGTCAGAGAAGGAGAAGCTGGAGCAAAACCCTGAGGAAGGGTTTTGTGAAGGATATCAAAGCTCTGCACAAAGAAACTCAAGCAATTTGCCAAACTCTTGAAGCAGAAAATGATTATCCTAGGATAAACCTAGGCTGATGTGGGGTTCACCCTGTGGGTTCTCTTTGGGAAGGTGTTTAGTCAAAGAACCATCTGCTGTTTTAAAGTTCTTCAGCTCAGTTTCAAGAACGTGTGCAAACTTTGGCCTTTGCTGCAGGAGTGGAGAAAACTGACAATAAGGAAAATCTTCAGGTGATATGCAAAGTGGAGACCTTAGTGCAGGCCCAAAAGAGAAAGTGAATCAGTATCAAGAAGAGTGTGAGGCACCTGGAGAGCATATTCCTGCAGTGCTGAAAGCCCACACTGGAGCAGATCAGCCACATCACCCAGCAGCTCAAGAAGGATGTGGTCTGAGTTAGTTCTGTAACAGGTGCTGGACGGTCAAGAAATCGAACAATGACTATTCAAAAGGAGAAGATTTTGAGGCTGCTGGGTCTCCTTTCTCAGTGAGACCAGTATCCTTTCCTCTGGCCTGAGGCCTCATTTTTGGTACCCCCAGGCTATGGGAGCCCTCATTTCACTATGCTTTCCTCCTCAGTCCCTTTTCCTGAGGGAGAAGTCTTTCCCTCCAGTTCTATCAACACTCTGGGCTCTCCTGTGCATTTAATTTGAGATGCCTGCCCGTCCTAAAAATGGGGAGCAGGGAAAGAAGAGAAGCCAGGGAAAGAACCTAGAGTATGCACCAGGGCTTTGGGGATTAAGTTCTTCATTCACTAAGGAAGGCATTGGGGAACATAAAGGGTGGTGGTAGGGAATTTTGGGAAAACTAGTTGGAGGGGAGTTGAAATTAAATGATGCTCTTGATTTTTATCCCCACAACATTCACCATTTTGTTCTTAAATAAAGAAGCCTGGGACACATTAAAAAGGATTCTTTAAGGGCGAAAGCCTTGTTTTCCCTAGTTACCCTAGACTCTAAATCTCACAGCTCGAATGCACATGGAAATGCTGGCCATCAGAGTCTCAGTCTCATTGCTTTGGAGGAACCCAATATTCAGAAAGGATGTACTGAAGTTTCTTCTCAATCCTGCTCTTTAGGTTGACTTCCCAAAACAGCAAGGAACATGAGAGTGTCCCAAGCAGTTGTACTGTTTGGAGGTTGATTGCAGTTCACTGGAGAAGTTCTTCCAGGGGCTGAGAGCAGCAAAGAAAGGGAAGAGGGTGCAGCACCTGTCCATGTGGGATGTGGAGGTGCTGTCCCAGGACAGGGCACCACAGGCTTCTTATGGCCATGTACTGTGCACACAATGGAGATAATACTCAAAAGCAAAACCAAATTTTTTTTTTTATGGAGAGATTTTCACTGTAGGGCGTGTGCGCTCGCCAGACAGACAGAGAGAGACATAGAGACAGAAAGTGAGAAATCACCTTCCAGGGGGGATGGTCACGCCGCAATCCCTTCTCGGGATCTTGGGCACGCACGCACACGCGCCCGGCGTGAGTTTTAAGCCACCGGGTCCAGGACGTGAACCGTGGTCGACTACGTGGGAGTCCAGCGACATAGCCATAACGCTAACTGCTGGTTCCGAAGAAAAAACAAATTTTGATATCCTCTCCAAACTATTCACTTAAAGAAAATAAAAGAATCTCCTGTAACATCTCCCATGTTAGCTCCTCTGCTGAGCACAGCTCATCCAACTCAGCTCCTTACCATGGTTTGTCTCCTTCTATAATCCCTTCTATTGCACCACATCAAGAGGCTTCATTTTTTCCTCCCCCCTCCTTTTTTTTTAAAGAGATTTTTACTATATGGTACATGCACTCCCTGGAGAGACAGAAAGAGACAGAGAGACAGAAGGCAAGAAATCACCCCCCTGGGGATGACCTAATATTGATCCAGTACATATTCACATGTGCCCAGAATGAGGTTTAATCTGCCAGGTCAGGGACTCAAACCATGGTTGATTACGTGGGAGTCCAGCAACATAACCATTACACCATCTGCTGGGACCTGTTTTTCCTTTTTTCTCTGTAAAAACTCTTCTGCCTCTTGTACCTCTTCCACGTATGCTCAGGCCCTTCTATGCTTTAGCTTACCTCATACCAACTATGTTATTCTTCCCCTGAAGACATCGCCTTTTTCTTTCCTAAGACAGGAGGACACCAGCTTATACCCTATCTGTGGACCCAATTCTGTACTACTGTCCCAATGCCATTAGCTAAGTGCCTTTTTTGTTGTTGTTTATTGTGGTAAGATACACATAAGATTTACTTATTTTTTGCCTATTAAAAAAACCCTGAAATTTATTTATTTATTTCATGAATGAGAGAGAGGTATAGTATCCCTAACAGGGTCTCTACAATACGATCCACCCCCCAGCTTCAGTCAGCTGGAACTTGTGTGTCCAGCACAGTTAGGTAGGTCTCCAGATGTGAACTGATACCCTTTTCATGTGAGTCTACCTTGTGAAACATTATATTTCATTGTTTGGCCACCACTTTGCCTATTTTTAATTGAGATGTTCAGTTTTTGTTTTAGTTGTTGAGTTGTGGGAATTCTTTATATAATGTGGCTATTAAGCTCTAATTAGATATGACTTATAAATATTTTCTACCATTCTGTGAATTCCCTTTTCACTCTCTCTCTTTTGTTTCTTTCTTTCCCTTTCTTTCTTTCTTTTTCTCCCTCTCTCTCTTTCCTTTCTTTTCCCTTCCTTTCCTTTTTTCTCCTTCTTTCTTTCTCTCTCTCTTTCTTCTTTCTTTTTATCTTTGCTATAGGGCATGTGTGCTTGCCAGAGAGAGACAGAAGGAGAGGGAGAGGAGAAAACACCCTCTGAATGGGGAATGGAGAGAATGGATACACCACAATCTTTATCTCCTATCTTCTCTGACTCTCCCTTCATTGGGGATTTGGACACTTACGCATTCACACCTGGCATGTTTCTCAAGCTGCTGGGCCTGGGGCTAGAACTGTGTGGTTAGCTATGTGGGATCTGGCTGCCTTAACCACCAGGACATGGAGTCAGTTCCCTTTTCATTCTCTTGATAATGTTCTTTGATTCACAAAATTTTTAAATTTTGATAAAATCTGATTTATTTAATTTTTCATTTTTTATCAATGCTTTTGATGTAGTATAAAATAAATAATCATCAAATCCAAATCATAGTTTCCTCTATCCTTTCTTTCTCTTTCTTCTTTCTCTCTCTTTGTCGCTTTCTTTCTTTTTTCTCTTTCTTTCTTTTTCTTTCT